CCTACTATTTCACTCATTTTCCAAAGGTAATTTTCAAGATGCACGTGAGGATCTAAACCATTGTAAAGAAATCGCCGGTAAATCAATTGAAAGGTCTTTCTGAATTTTTTTCATATATATATAACTCCTTGCTAGTTTCTCAATTTTTGTTTTTTTTATTTTTATACATAGAATAAACATACAAAAGAAGCGAGTCGCTTCTAACTTTAAAAGCATTTCTAGTCATTTCCAAGACACATTTGTTTTTTGGAAGAGTGAAAGCAATTCGGCCACCATAGTGATCACCAGGAATGAAAAATCACATGAAGGGATTGTAGATAAAGTAAAATTAAGTGTGACGATGCATCCTGAACAGCAAAGACTAATACAGATTTTTGTTGCGTCATTAGCTATGAATCCAAGCGATTTTCCTGAATTTGACCCTGACGCTGCATTTAGAGGTGAGAAAATATACCAATATAATGTAGTGCATGAAATTTGCAATTTTGGAGCTAAGGTAATTGTGGAATCTGTTAGTATTTATTTTTAACTCCCAGTACCGTCGAAATTTCCAGAATTTTCGAGCTAACAAATTTATTTGAAATTCAGCTTCTTAAGTCAAAAAAGACGATGTGATTTTCTAGAGAAAAACAAGTAAACACACATTAAACTTGATATAACCTATATCTCAACATTATTGTACATGAATGTGACTAACCTACAAACACAACACGTAAGTAGCAATCATTAGCTAGCAGAATTGGTGAATTACCAACAGGGCGCTTTGCAACTTCTAGGTTACCGTATGCCTTTGGTGCACCTTTAGAGGCGTCTCGCGTCCAAGCGATGTAGCGCGTCTGGTTTAAACTGTAGATACCTAAACCCCTATATCAAATTAAAGCTTATAACACTGCTCCAGTACTGATTTTGAAATAAAATGAATTATCGAATTTCTCACAACCTTTAAATCTGAGGGTCTGAATCATCTTTTGGGTCCCTTTTGAACGCTAGAAGTCAAAGGGAATTTGTTCGTTTGCCCTCAAATTTGGACAGTAGCTAGTTTGATATATAAACAACAAAAATATGTCTGCGAATTATTTATTTCNTTAGTATTTATTTTTAACTCCCAGTACCGTCGAAATTTCCAGAACTTTCAAGCTAAAAAATTTATTTGAAATTCAGCTTCTTAAGTCAAAAAAGACTTGATGTGATTTTCTAGAGAAAAACAAGTAAACATACATTAAACTTGATATAACCTATATCTCAACAGTATTGTACATGAATGTGACTAACCTCCAAACACAACACGCAAGTAGCAGTCATTAGCTAGCAGAATTGGTGAATTGCCAACAGGGCGCTTTGCAACTTTTAGGTTACCGTATACCTTTGGAGCACCTTTAGAGGCGTCTCGCGTTCAAGCGATGTAGCGCGTCTGGTTTAAACTGTAGATACCTAAACCCCTATATCAAATTAAAGCTTATAACACTGCTCCAATACTGATTTACCAAAGACGTCAAAGGAAACCAAACTAATTTCCAACCAGTTGCTGGAGTAATAACGACACGGCTTCAAACTGAATATGAAAACTGACTAAAAAATATGAAGAAACCATGTTTAATTATTGAAGTTGTTCAGTTTCAAAATAAAGACCTATAGGAATGAGAAATGTAAACGAATGTAACAAACAGAGTTTTTCCTAGCGCACGACATCAACAAGTAAAAATACAGAACAGTGTTCTTTCTATTTAATTTAAAACCACATGCAAAAATTCAGATACTTTTGAGGAAAAAAAAATCACAGATATTTTTCAATTAGCATGGTTTTCGACTAACCCATTCCATTGTAAACGAGCTGTAACAAACAAATTTTTTTTTCCCTAGCGAATGAGATCAACGACAAAAATGAATAAATAAATAAACAACACAACAGCAGGATCAGTGAGGCTGCTGCCAAGGCGTTAACCCAATGCCACGCTATTATTTACTTTTTTCCTTTTATTAACTTTCATGGCATGAATTGTATATTATGTAAGCGAAAATTTTGACGTTCGCCTCCAAGTCTTTTGTTCTTTGTGCTCTTTCTGTAGAATTTCAGTTCCTGGTAGGGACTCAGAATAATGAAAAGAGACCTTGTGATTTCTACAAACAGATCAGCTCCTTTGCTTGGGCGAGAAAAGAAAATGGGATTGTACTCTCTATAGTTTTGGCCCCTTATTTCTCGATATAGACGTCTATTTCTTCCCTATGGTATTAAAGCCTTCTTGTCGTTTTGCGATTGATTGTCAAAAATAATCCAAAATTGGTTTCATTTTGCTTTGCGATACTTTTTGAAATGTTATGATACAAGCTGATGCAAATCAGATGTGAACAAAAGCCAATCATAACCTGGTCACGTGCGTTTTATCGCGCCATGCACTCTCATTGGTTTATTGTGTTATTACCGGTTATCGTGCGTGACCACTTTATTTTGGGTTTACGACGGTCAAGTGTTAAAAAATTCCACTACTTCATTTTCATTTTTTATTGCCACTCGTACCGCTTACAATACTTCTTATAAAATATGATTACTTACGCCACTTACAATACTAATACTACTCACAACACTCATAATGACATGCAAAGTTCAAATACGTAACAACAATGCAGTTTTCTCGACTAGCTGAGCATTCTTGGCACTAGTTACGTAATAGCTCTGCAGTAAATACCGAGACTACTTGTTCACTCCATTCGTGCTCGGTTTTCCACCCGGTTTTCCAGCGGAGCGCTGATCAGGGAACGGCCCACCCTCCCACCTTCATCGTGTGGGTCGTACGTCGTACCGCTAGACTCGACCTCCCCGGCCTAAGCCAAGCTGTTCATCTTGGGTAAGTCCGCTGGTCAATCATTATTCCCATATCTTATTTCAACTGAGTATGAATGAGAGTGTTGTGAAATG